AAAACATCGATTAAAAGATAAACTGATCTGCGTTTTAACTAAAAATTCATTCTTTTAATAATAAAAAGGGATTCGTGGTCGGTTACGTTTAGGGAAGGATTAGAACCCCAACAACGCCCAAAATTGGTACTTTTTAATTATAAATTGTCTCTTATTATTAGAAATTAAAAATTCAAAATATATTTAATTTATAATCCTATTATTTTAAAATTATAATTATGAAAAATATATATTAATTTATATATTTATAAATAAAATATTTATTTATTTAGAAATATCAGAAAAAGACTTCTAGGTGCCTTAAGATAGCTATTTTCCTCGATATTAAAAAATAAATAAATAATTAAAATAATTAATATATAATTTATAAAATAGGATATTTATTTATTTAAAAATATTAGAAAATGGACATCCAGTTGTTTTAAGACTGCCCTTTCTTAATATTGAAAAATAAATAAATATTAAAACAATATTAAAATAAGTTAAAAGTAATTAAATAAGATTTTAATAAATAAAATAAATATTATAAATATATATATATTTATGGCTAAATAATAATAATAGTAATAATAATTAAAAGTAAACATATAAAATTAACATATAATGAACAAAATTAAAACTATATATTTAAAATAAATAAAACTTATAAAAATTGAAATTAGTGACTAAATTATAACTTAATAGAATTAAATACCCAATTCGTAATTAATTATTTAAAATTACAGGGATTAAACATGTTATTTTATCCATTTATTAATTTGGTGACTAAAATAAAATTATATTAAATTCGAATATCAGATTAAAATAAATTAAAAATATGTACTCGGGATTAAAATATTAATTATTAAAATTAAAGGACTAAATCTGTATTTTATCTAAAATATTTATATAAATATATTAGTGATTAAATTATAAAGTAAACAAAATTAGAAGACCAAATTAAAACATTTAGAATTTGATTTCAGTGACTAAAATGGAATGTTACAAAACTAAGATGGTTGCGGAAAGGGTTTGGCCAAAAGTGAAATTACAGATATACCCCTTTCCAAAACGACATCGTTTGGGAAGGGGTATATACTCCCCTTCCAGCTGGCCCGTAGGGCCAGCGTTTCCATTTCTCTTCTTTCTCTTCTCTCTCTAACTGAGAGATAAGAGAATTCTCTCTCGCCTCTCTCTAGCTTCCCTCACCAGAGGGAAGCCGGTCATCGGCCGGCAGCCGTCTGCCGCCGTAATCCCCACCGCCGGCCACCGGACCGTCCTAATGACGGTTTCGGTGTTCCTTTCTCTTAAATAGCTCCCGATCGGAGCAAATCTAGGAAAATACCTTCTGTTTTCGAAGGTTTTTGGTGACGCTTGGAGGCCGGTGGTGACTCCGATCGAGGTGTTGTCTTCCCCTGTAAGTTTCTCTCGCTCTTCTCTTTTTGTTTTGTGGTTTGCTTTCTATTTTCCCCCTTTTTTGTTCTCTGTTCTTGCTCTCCTCCTCTGTTTTCAGGCGAACCGAGGCTTTATAGCCTTGTCGAGACGTTCATCGGACCGGGTAATGGAATGGCCCTCAGTGAGTCACCGAAATATGGTGGTGACTCACCATAGGGTAGCAACGTGGATGGCTCAGTGGCACTTCTGGAGGCTTCTTTGAGGGCGGCGGCAGCTGGAACGTCGATGTGGGGTGGCTGAAAACATCTGGAGGCGACAACTGGGGTCTTCTGGAAGCAGCGGCGGCTGGGACGTGGCCCTAGGGTTTTGATACCCTAGGGTTTCCTCTGGAAGCTTCTGGACCGTTGGATCTTACCAGATCCAACGGTTGAGGTGGAGGCGGCTGCTGGTGATGATACAAATCCTAGATGGGTTTAGGGTTACTGTTGGGCCATCTAAGTTTGGGTCTGGTCTCTTGTAACTGGGCTCGTCTGGGTTGGGCCGGACTTGGCCTGTTTGTAATAATAATAATTTTAATAATAATAAATAAAATAATAATAATAATAATATATAAAATAATAATAATAATTATAAATAATAATAGAAAATGGAGAAAAAAATAGTATCTTCAGAAACAACAGAACTGCAGGCTTAGAAACTGAATGAGTCTTTGAAATATAGTTGCTCTTCTGAGTAGAAATTCAATTGGACGAGTTTTCCCGGCTGTATTTGGATTTTTTGGACTGCCAATGGGGCTTGTCGTCATTCCTAGATCGTTTATTTTTCTAGGAATTGTAACTCTTGCGTTTCTTAGAAGCTTTCATCTTCTCCTCAATAACGTTTGCTCAGTTCACCAAGCTCTGAAATTCGGTAATATCTAGGACAGTAAATACAGGATTTAGCTCGTTATTTTGCCCGTTGATAAACATTCAACATTTTTCGCTTTCCTTCTTGATGTATTCTGACCCGTACTTGCAATATTTGCAGAAGTCACTCACATACTGCTTGATGGGTCAGCTACCATATTTAAGGTACAAGAATCGCTTCTTACGTTCAGCCAAATACTGCTCACTAATATATTTCATGTTAAACTCTACTACAAAGAACTTCCAAGTAATGGATTCATTAGAAGCAGTAAGGGCAGTGGTTTCCCACCAACTCAGTGCCTCATTTGCCAACAGGGCCACAACACACTCGAGTTTATGCTCAACCGAACATTGCAATTGCTTATTCAGAATTTGGGTGGTAGTATAAGGCCAATACCAGACCTCTTCGGGTTTATCTTCATTGGCACCAATGAAAGTATATGTCACGTGTTGGGCCAGCTTGTCGATATGAGCCTTATTTGGTACAACAGGAGAAGTAACAGGCTGATCATTTATATTACAAAAGAAACCCTTAATGGATTATACCAAATGACATACTAGTAAGTTATATACATTCTAAAAGAGCCATTAACGATTATACATTAGGGTCCATTAACTCTATAGACTATACTATTTCATTAGGTTTTTAGGTACATTTTTATATACAACTTAATTACCTACCCTATGCACGAAATTTGAATTATTATACTAAAAAATAAGCCACCAACTAGGAGTATAAGGATAACAAAATAAGCCATACTTGAATTCTTCCTTTGGGTTGATTAACTATTGAGGTGGAGCTTCGACTACTCTAGAGCCTATGGTATGGGAAAGAAAATAACAAGAGTGATAAGTACATAAAGTACTTAGTGAGTTAACACTTAATTCTATTAGACCTTCGAAATTTAATTTATCTTTAACATTCAATTATCATTTTGGTTTCATAAGTCACAATACAATCTACTAGATTCACATTCAATTTAAAACATTCCAAATTAATCTTGCATCAATTTCGAACAATAAGAAAAAAATCATAATCATATAAATGTAATTTAGCAATCAATCTAACCAAGCAATCATACATTTCAATCTTTCCTCCATTAGAACTAGAACAATTTTCACCACATTTGTACTCATGCAATCTATATGGCATTCGGATTAAACAATTCAATATGTATAATATTCTTCCCTATTTTCGAACAAGAACATTTCACCACATGCGTACATATATATGTATAATCGAACTATGCAATTCATGTAATTATTATAATTCTTCCGATTTAATCTTATCATTCAATTTAAGCCTTGGTTTCTAGTTCGGTCTAGATAATCAAGTCCTAACCACTGTCGCAATACACTTTAATCATACCGTAGTGCTGGTAAACCCTTCTACTGTCGCTAAAGACCACATAACGTACCCTCCGGCTGTAGCCAATAAACACCGTAGTGTTGGACTGTAGTCCCCCATACACAATTGAGCTCTAGACTCTAAGTCATGCCCTCATATCTTATAAACTATTAACCAAGGACATTGAATCTTATTTTCCAAGAAATCATTATTTTGTTTTTCATAACATTGCCATCAAGGATTATTCCATATCAAGATTATTCATTAAATTTCAACTTGATCATGGAAGCAAGAAACAATTTGTTCATTCAATGTTTTAATTCAATCAAGTTCAGTCTTGGAAGTATGCAATAGTTCATCATTCAACTTGAGTAGATCATGGTAGCATTCAATAATTCACCATTCGATTCAATTCAATCATGGCATCATACAATAGTTCATCATTTAAGTTGATTCGATCATGGTAGCATGCAATAATTCCCCATTCAATTCAATTCAATCATGGCAGCATACAATAGTTCATCATTCAACTTGATTCGATCATGGTAGCATGCAATAATTTACCAGTCAATTCAATTCAATCATGGCAGCATACAATACTTCAGCATTCAATATGATTCGACCATGGTAGTATACCATAATTCACCATTCAACTTGATTTGATCATGGTAACATACATTTATTCACATATCAATTCAATTAGATCATGATAACATGTATTAATTCACAAACTAATTCAATTTAAATCAAGACAAGAAGCAGTAACCAATTTACTAATTAACTTCATATGGCACTCAATAACTTATAGCCTTTAATTAATCTCTCTTTACCTTAATTTAAAGTTCTAGTATGGATTAATTTTTATTATTAGCATACTTATTTTGTAAACAATTGAACATATAAAAAAAATAAACGGTGGTTGGGACCTAATTCCCAACCCAGTATAGTTACGCTCACATTACTCCAAGTTAGCCTTAAATTACTATTCCTTTTAGTCTATCTTTGGTGGATCCTCCCTTAGTTCCTTCAGAAACTTCCTCAATTACTTACTCTATCAATTTATACACAACATAGGGAGGTTATTATAATCAATACAATAGAAATTCTATCTCAATTAGCTATTTGACACTAAATAGATTCTATTTTGGCAGATTGTACACCTTGTAAAAATCTTATCATAATTTTTAATTTACTCATCAGATTTTCAATTTATCTATACACTTAGAAATATAATTCAATTATTTTTCAAACCATGTATGGTTTGTATTTTAATTTGTTATATACAATTACAATTTTACAATTGAAGTTTGACAATTTTACAGTGACCAATCTGTCACTCTTGCAATTCGATGCACTTTGGTGAACTACTTCACCTAGAATTCTTATCAATTTGTTTTAGCTATTCTTACTGTTTCTTATTTTCATCCTTTCCATGTATTTTCATATCAAATTTTGCCTTTATTGTTCCAATTAAGTCCTCCAATTTACAGATTATCCAGAACTGTACAATTTTACCTTTTTTTGCCAATATACCATTTACAAACTACCAATTCCTCTATAATTTAAGCCTTACAATTTATTTTACATTCATTTCAGTCTCTAACCTATTTTTATATAGCATTACAAATTTTTATTTATGTCCAATTGGATCCCTAATTTTCTTATCTTGTTCAAAACAATCCTTAATCGATCTATAGCAACAATTGTGACTAGTTTCACTTTAAGGTCAAATTCTTAAAAATTTACAGTATTTGCTCTTGTTTAAAGCATAAATCTTTAATAAATTTAAATTTACAGCAACTTTATCCTACATATATTGTTCTAATTTAGTACACAACCTTTCGTATTTCTTAATTTTGTCACATGCATGCACAATTATTTCGATTATCACCCTTAAGGTGATATCTCACACTTTACCCAACTTAACAAGGTTCTTTATCACTTAAATCTAACTCAACATGACCACCATAATCTATAGTATCATACAAGCCAAAAATTTAAATTTATTCAATAATCCAATTTCTCAAGAATTAACTCAATTAAATCCTTAAAGTTTTGAATGGAATGAGAAGGAAAGACATACTTTCTAGGCTATGTAATTTCCCTTAGATAATTCAATCTTGAACTAAGATTGCATGGTCAATCCTCTTCTTAGTATGTTCTCCATCTTCTTTATTATTTCTTTCTTAATTGTCTCTAATTTTTCTCTCTTAGGTCGGTCACCAAATGCGATGAAAATGATGATATTATTTCATCCTTAATGGAGGGGGAAATTCCCAATTTAGCCTCTCTTAATGCTTAAGTAATTGACTATTCAAGGGTAAATTTAGGAATTCATATATTTGACATGCAATCTTATTATTTGTTACTTATATCAATTGGATCACTCTAATTTGGTTTGCACTTCATCAATCATTTCGTTTAGGCCCTTGTTTAATTCAACTAATTTAAATTTTCAATTCAATTATATCTTTATTTAATTATATTAATTTAAATCTATATTCAGTTTGGTATTTATCCTAGGAAATGTAACTTAATTCTCCTAAGCTAGGATTTTGAGGTGTTACAATTCTCCCCTTAAAAGAGAATTCATCCTCAAATTCTTACCTGGATTAAACAGATGAAGATATTGCTTTCTCATTGTATCCTCGCTTCTTGCATTTTATGATATCTCCACAAGACTTATACCAAAGGAATGTTCTTGTCTTGAAGTCGTTTGACTTCTCTTTCAAGGATTTGAATCAGTTCATCTTCATAGGATAAGTCTGGGTTTAATTCAACTTTTTCATGGTCAAGAATGAGAGTTGAATTTGATTGGAACTTTTGGAGCATCGAGACATGGAAAACATTATGAATATTCTCAAATTATTTTGGGGGTGATAGTCGGTAAGCCACTGGACCAATTCGTTTAGCAACATCAAATGGTATGATAAATTGAGGGCTAACCTTTCCTTTTTTTTCCAAATCTGAAAACTTTCTTCCAATAGATACTTTAAGAAATACCTTATCTCATACGTTATATTGGATGCATCTTCGTTCCAAATCTACATAGAACTTATGCCTATAAAAAACTTGCTTCAATCGATCATGGATATTTTAAACTTGTTATTCGATTTCTGTGAGCAATTGAGGCCCAAGGACTTTGTTTTCACCCAGTGCAGACCAAGGTAGAAGTGTTCTGTATTTTCTTCCCTACAAAGCCTCAAAAGGTTCCATTTGAATCAAATCTTGATAATTATTGTTATAGGTGAATTCTACAAGAGTTATGGATTTCTCCCAGTTCTTTCCGAAATCAATAACACAAGCTCTAAGCATGTCTTCGAGAACTTATATTACTCTCTCGGATTGTCCATCACTTTGAGGATGAAAGGTCATACTCAGTTTCACTTTAGTTCCAAGGGCTCACGTAAAGATTTCCAAAATTGAGCTGGGAATCAAGGATCTCGATCGAAAATGACTGAAGTAGGGACCCAGAGTAATCAAATTACTTAACGAATGTACAATTCAGCTAGATTATCCAAACTATAGCTAATTCAAATAGCGATGAACTAAGATGATTTAGTGAAGCGATCTATAATTACCCATACATAATTACACTTTCTTGGTGAACTAGGTAGGCCACTTACAAAGTTCATAGTTGTTTGATCCCATTTCCACTGAGGAAATGCAATAGACTGGAGGAGTCTTATAGGAGCTCGATGTGTGGCTTTGATTCTTTGACAATTCTGACATATAGACACAAAATTTGTAATGACATACTTCATGTGAGGCCACCAAGACAAGGATTTAAGGTCTTTATACATTTTGACAGATCCAGGATGAATCGAGAATGGAATTTGATGAGCTTCCAATAAAATTTTCTTATTCAAGTCATTGTTGTTTGGAATACACATCATATTCGTAAAATAGAGCAGGTCATTCGAATGAATGGAGAAATCTTGATTGGCTTTCAAGTTTATCTCTAAAATGACAACTTGAAGTTTAAGATCAGTGTATTGTAAGTCTTTGATCCTCACGATTAACCTAGATTGAACTTGTAATTCACATATGAATCCATATTTTTTATATATTCAAAGATGATCATTAATAGCATTTGAGGTCAAAGTTGGATTACGACTGAGAGTATCTGTAACCACATTGGTTTTTTTGAGATGATAGACGATGACTAAACCATAGTCTTTGAGTAGTTCAAGCCATCTTCTTTGCCTCAAATTGAGATACTTTTGAGTCAATAAATATTTGAAACTCTTATAATTAGTAAATAGATAGCACTTTTCACCGTACAAGTAATGCCTCTAAATTTTGAGGGCGAATACAATATCAGCAAGTTCTAAGTCAGACGTTGGGTAATTGAGATCATGAGGCTTTACTTGGAGAGATGCATAAGAAATTACACTATTTCCTTGCATTAAGACACATCCAAGTCCCAAATGAGAAGCGTCTCTAAAAACAGTGATTTTTTGTCCAATTATGGTTTGATGAGAACTAGGGCAAGAGTAAGAGTTTGTTTGAGCTGATCAAAGCTTCATTGCTGCTTTTCTGTCCATTGAAAGGATACATCCTTTTGAACAAGTTTAGTTAGGGGTAAGGCAATAGTAGAAAATCCCTTAGCAAATCTTCTATAATATCCGACTAAACCAAGAAAGCTTCGAACTTCACTTACATTCCTTGGAGGTCTCCAATCCATAATATCTTGTATCTTTTTTGGATCTACTTTGATTCCCTGTATCGAGATAACATGACCAAGGAACGAGACTTCTGATAGCCAAAACTCGCACTTGGCAAATTTTTCAAATAACTGGAGTTCTTGAATTATTTTTAAAAAAATCAGAAGATGTTCGACATGTTCCTCCTTGTTATGGGAATAGATAAGAATGTCATCGATAAATACAACCATGAACTTGTCAATATAGGGCTTAAATACTCAAATCATGAGATCCATGAATGCGATCGGGCCATTAGTTAATCTAAATGGCATAACAAGAAATTCATAGTGGTCGTAATGAGCTCGGAAAGCTATTTTTGGCATGTTTTCCTCTTTAACCCTTACTTGGTAATAACTCGATCAAAGATCGATCTTTGAAAATATTAACGCATCCCTAAGCTGATCAAAGAGGTCCTATATTCGTGGAAGTGGATATTAGTTGTTGATAATGATCTTCTTCAGCTGGTGATAGTCAATACAAAGATGCATCATATTATCCTTTTTGTTTAAAAACAAGACAGGTGCACCACAAGGAGAAAAACTTGGCCGAATAAAACCTTTGTCTTGAAGCTCTTGCAGTTGCTTCTGTAGCTCTTTCAATTTAAGTGGCGACATTCGGTATGGTGTAATGGACATCAAATTCGTTCCAGGTTGGACTTCAGCCTCAAACTCTACTTCTCAAGATGGAGGTAGTCCATGAAGTTCCTCAAGAAAAACATAAGCAAATTCAGAAATTATAGGTGTATCAATTAAGCCAAATTAAATTTCATATTTTAAGATCATAAAAGCAAAACGAGAGGTAGGCTTTTTATCAATTAGGAGTACAATCTTTTATTTTGAAAATCTACCCAAGCTCGTGTTTGATGGACCAATCTAAGGCTAGTTTTAAATCAAACTCACAAGATGGAAGAACATATAGATCGATGAAGAAAGGCACATTTTGAATATTCAAGAGGTAATTTATGCATATCGAAATCCCCCCTAACGGGTTATAAACTACAAAACCGGTTTTAACAAGGCTTTAATTTCAATTTTCTACCAAATTTGAGAATAAACAGTTATTGAGTTTAACTTGACATGGCTTTAATTTAAATATTCAAGTTGTGTTTGGACTTCTTGGAATGCCAATGAGGCTTGTCGTCATTCCTAGATCATTTATCTTTCCAGGAACTGCAACTCTTGTGTTTCTCATAAGCTTTCATCTTTGCCTCCTTAGCGATAGCTCGATTCACCAAGCTTTAAAAGTAAGTAATATACAAGGTAGTGAATATAGGATTTAACTTGTCATTCTGTCCGTTGATAAACTTTCGACATTTGTCGCTATCCTTCTTGATGTATTCTGACTCGTACTTGTAATATTTACAGAAGTTGCTCATATAATACTCGATGGGTCGACTAAATTATTTAAGGTACAAGAAACGCTTCCTACGTTCATCTATATATTGGTTATTAATATACTTCTTGTTGAACTCTTCTACAAAGAACTTCCAAGTAATGAATTCAGCAGGAGAAGTCAGGGTAGTGGTTTCCCACCAACTCAGTGCCTCATATGCCAATAGGGCCACAACACACACTAGTTTATGCTCGCATGAGCATTGTAATTGCTTAATCAAAATTCAGGAGATATTCTCAAGCCAATATTCAATATTTTCGGGTTTATCTTCATTGGCACTAGTGAA